TGTCCATGGCTCCTTTATCATATATTAATTGACCATATATGGTTGGGTTTACATCAGGGCTCTCTAGTCTGTTCCATTGGTCTATGGGTCTGTTCTTGTGCCAGTACCAAACTGTCTTGATTACTGTGGTTTTGTAGTAGAGCTTGAAGTCAGGGAGTGTAATCCCCCCAGCTTTATTCTTCCATCTCAGGATTGCTTTGGCTACTTGGGGTCTTTTGTGGTTCCATACAAATTTTAGAACTATTTGCTCTGGTTCCTTGAAGAATGCTTTTGGTATTTTGATAGGGATTGCATTGAATCTGTAGATTGCTGTAGGCAGGATGGCCATTTTGACAATATTAATTCTTCCTATCCATGAGCACGGGATGTGTTTCCATTTATTGGTATCTTTAATTTCTCTCATGAGTGTCTTGGAGTTTTCAGAGTATAGGTCTTTCACTTCCTTCATTAAGTTTGTTCCTAAGTATTTTATTCTTTTTGATGCAATTGTGAATGGAATTGTTTTCCTGATTTCTCTCTCTGCTAGTTCATCATTAGTGTATAGGAATGCAACAGATTTCTGTGTATTAATTTTGTATCCTGTAACTGCTGAATTCAGATATTAGATCTAGTAGTTTTGGAGTGGAGTCTTTAGAGTTCTTTATGTACAATATCATGTCATCTGCAAACAGTGACAGTTTAACTTCTTCTTAACCAATCTGGATGCCTTTTGTTTGTTTGTGTTGTTTGATTGCTGTGGCTAGGACCTCAGAACTATGTTCAATAAAAGTGGGGAGAGTGGGCATCCTTGTCTTGTTCCCGATCTCAAAGGAAAGGCTTTCAGCTTCTCACTGTTATGCTGTTGGCTGTGGGTTTGTCATATGTGGCTTTTATAATGTTGAGGTACTTGTCCTCTATACCCATTTTGTTGAGAGTTTTATCATGAATGGATGTTGAATTTTGTTAAATGCTTTTTCAGCATGTATTGAGATGATCATGTGGTTTTTGTCCTTTTTGTTGATGTGGTGGATGATGTTGATGGACTTCCTGATATTGTACCATCCTTGCATCCCTGAAATAAATCCTACTTGATCACGATGGATGATCTTTTTGATATATTTTTGAATTTGGTTTGCTAATATTTTGTTGAGTATTTTTGCATCTATGTTCATCAGGTATATTGGTCTGTAATTTTTTTTGTGGTGTCTTTGCCTGGTTTTGGTATTAGGGTGATGTGGCCTCATAGAATGAGTTTGGAGTATTCCCTCTGCTTCTACTTTTTGGAAAACATTAAGGAGGATGGGTATTAGGTCTTCACTAAATGTTTGATAAAATTCAGCAGTGAAGCCATCTGGTCCAAGAGTTTTGTTCTTAGGTAGTTTTTTGATTACCAATTTAATTTTGTTGCTAGTAATTGGTCTGTTCAGATTTTCTGTTTCTTCCTGGGTCAGCCTTGGAAGGTTGTATTTTTCTAGAAAGTCATCCATTTCTTCTAGGTTATCCAGTTTGTTGGCATATAATTTTTCATAGTATTCTCTAATAATTCTTTGTGTTTCTGTGGTGTCTGTAGTGATTTTTTTCCTCATTTTTGATTCTGCTTATGTGTGTAGACTCTCTTTTTTTCTTGATAAGTCTGGCTAGGGGTTTATCTATTTTATTTGCTTGAAAAACCAGCTCCTGCTTTCATTGATATTTTCTATTGGTTTATTCTTTTGATTTTATTTATTTCTGCTCTAATCTTTATTATGTCCCTCCTTCTACTGACTTTGGGCCTTCTTTGTTCTTCTTTTTCTAGTTTCATTAATTTTGAGTTTAGAGTGTTCATATGGGATTGTTCTTCTTTCCTGAGGTAGGCCTGTATTGCGATATACTTCCCTCTCAGTGCAGCCTTTGCTGCATCCCATGGATTTTGTGGTGTTGAATTATTGTTGTCATTTGTCTCCATATATTGCTTGATCTCTGTTTTTATTTGGTCATTGATCCATTGGTTATTTAGGAGCATGTTGTTAAGTCTCCATGTGTTTGTGGGCTTTTTCATATTATTTGCATAATTTATTTCTAGTTTCATACCTTTGTGGTTTGAGAAGCTGATCGGTAGAATTTCAATCTTTTTGAATTTACTGAGGCTCTTTTTGTGGCCTAATATATGATCTATTCTTGAAAATGTTCCATGTGTACTTGAGAAGAATGTGTATCCTACTGCTTTTGGGTGTAGAGTTCTGTAGATGTCTGTTAGGTCCATCTGTTTTAATGTGTTGTTCAATGCTTCTGTCTCCTTACTTATTTTCTGTCTGGTTAATCTGTCCTTTGGAGTGAGTGGAGTGTTGAAGTCTCCTAAAATGAATGCATTGCATTCTATTTCCCCTTTTAATTCTGTTAGTATTTGTTTCACATATGTAGGTGCTCCTGTGTTGGGTGCATAGATATTTATAATAGTTATATCCTCTTGTTGGATTGGTCCCTTTATCATTATGTAATGTTCTTCTTTGTCTCTTGTGACTTTCTTTGTTTTAAAGTCTATTTTGTCTGATACAAGTACTGCAATACCTGTCTTTTTCTCCCTATTATTTGCATGAAATATCATTTTCCATCTCTTCACTTTTAGTCTGTGTATGTCTTTGGGTTTGAAGTGAGTCTCTTATAGGCAGCATATAGTTGGGTCTTGTTTTTTTTATCCATTCAGTGACTCTATGTCTTTTGATTGGTGCATTCAGACCACTTACATTTAGGGTGATTATTGATAGGTGTGTATTTACTGCCATTGCAGGTTTTAGATTCATGGTTACCAAAGGTTCAAGGGTAACTTCCTTACTATCTAAGAGTCTAACTTAACTCACTTAGTATGCTCTTACAAACACAATCTAAAGGTTCTTTTTTTTCCTCCTCTTTTCTTCCTCCTCCATTCTTTATATATTAGGTATCGTATTCTGTACTCTTTGTCTATCCCTTATTATTACTTCTGGTGACAGCTATTTAACCTTAGCAACACTTCCATCTATAGCAGTCCCTACAAAATAGACTGTAGAGATGGTTTGTCGGGAGGTAAATTCTCTTAGCTTTTGCTTATCTGGAAATTGTTTAATCCCTCCTTCAAATGTAAATGATAATCTTGCTGGATAGAGTATTCTTGGTTTGAGGCCCTTTGGCTTCATTGCATTAAATATATCATGCCACTCCCTTCTGGCCTGTAAGGTTTCTGCTGAGAAGTCTGATGATAGCCTGATGGATTTTCTTTTGTATGTGATCTTATTTCTCTCTCTAGCTGCTTATAATAGTCTGCCCTTATCCTTGATCTTTGCCATTTTAATTATTATATGTCTTGGTGTTGTCCTCCTTGGGTCCCTTGTGTTGGGAGATCTGTACACGTCCATGGCCTGAGAGACTGTCTCCTTCCCCAGATTGGGGAAGTTTTCAGCAATTACTTCCTCAAAGACACTTTCTATCCTTTTCTCTCTCTTCATCTTCTGGTACCCCTATAATACAAATATTGTTCCATTTGGATTGGTCACACAGTTCTCTCAGTATTCTTTCATTCCTAGAGATCCTTTTTTCTCTCTATGCCTCAGCTTCTTTGTATTCCTCTTCTCTAATTTCTATTTCATTTATCGTCTTCTCCACCGTATCTAATCTGTTTTTAATACCCTCCATTGTGTTCCTCAACGATTGAATCTCCATCCTAAATTCTTTCCTGAGTTCTTGAATACCTTTTTGTACTTCTATGAGCAAGTTTATGATTTTTTTTTTAATCTCTTGCAGGAAGATTTATTAGTTCAGTCTCACTTGACCCTTTTTCTGGGGTTGTTGAGATTTTGCTTTGAACCAGGTTCCTTTCATGTTTCATATTTGTATGTGGTGCCTTCTAGTGCCCAGAAGCTCTACTCTCTGGCGCTGCTCTGCCCCTGGAGCGTTGTTGGGGGTCTCAGGAGAGTGGTGCTCTTGCCTGGGGTTAGGAAAGAGCTGTTTCCTGCTTCCTGGGTACTATACCTGTCTCCACTGCCAGAACCAGTGGGCTGAACACACAGGTGTAAGTCTCTATGCTTTGCGTTTGTAGCTCTTGTAGGCGGGGCTTCCCTGTGGCAGGCCTGACGCTAAGGCAGAGTTTGCCAGTTTGTGAGCCAGGTGCGAGCTGGCCGGGAGGAAGGTGCAGCAGGCTGGGTATCATGGTGGGAAGCCTTGAAGCTGCGTAGCCAGCCAGGGGGCTGGAGTGCCTGAGGATTGTGAGAGTTCCCAACCTGCTGGGCAGAGTGCACTTGGACAATTCTGTTTACCTGTCCTTTCTCCTGAGCAGTAAGCTCTGTGCAGTCCTTGCCCCTTTAGCATCCCTCTTGCTTTTAGAAAGTCTCTCAGACTGCCCACCCAGATCAGCCAGATATGGATCCCTGTTTTCCCCAAGCAGCTGGAGTGTCAGTCTCTCCAGTTATTCCACCTCTCTTAGCTTTCCAACCCCACTAATCACCAGAGCACCATGCAATGTAGGTTCGTGCTCCCAGAGCAGATCTCCAGGGCTAGGTGTTCAGCAGTCCCAGGCCTCCACTCCCTCCCTGCTCTGTTTCTCTTCCTCCCATTGGTGAGCTGGGGTGGGGGAAGGTCTTGGGTCCCACCAGGTCATGGCTTTGGTACGTTATCCTGTTCTGTGAAGTCTGTTATTTCCTCCAGGTGTATGCAGTCTGGCACAGCCTTCTTTCCTGTTCTCTTTCAGGATTAGTTGTATTCATTATATTTTTGTATTATATGAGGTTTTAGAAGGAGGTCTCTATCTCATCTCTCACGCTGCCATCTTTAATCCTCCTTCAGGACTTAAACTTTTTTGAGCTTTATTTCTGCTTCTAACAAACAGGATGAGCCTTTGCAAGCTGCAGTGAGAACTGGCAGCAGTGGAAGGCTGTGCCTTGGAGCACAGCAGCCACTGCACTGAGCCATCGCTGCTGTTACCATTCCTCATTTGGGGGATGCTCCATGGTGTATGGGAAGAGCAAGTGGACTTCAGAGGTGAACAAAATGAGGGCTGAGACCTGATTTCACATTTTCAACCTGTATGGCAATTATTTAGTCCTGTTTCCTCAGTTTCCCTAACTGTGAAATGGAATAATAATGACAATAATGCCTAATGTGCAGTGTGGTTATCTGACACAGGCTCCTGGGTTCTAATGACTAAATGACACAAGCTCCTGGGTTCCTCAGACTCAGTTCCTGCTCTGTGTTCTTCTTAGTACTGACTTGGTCACTGCTCAGACGATGTCTGGGGTATGTCCTCTCCAACCACTACAAGGACTGCAGGAACCCAGTTCACCTGTCCACTGACCAGGCTAGAAACTGAATCAGAGGCTTTTATTCTGGGGTAGAGAGTAGGGTTTCAGAAACTCCATGCCAGTCTAGGAGGTGGGCCTCGGGGAACAAGTGCAGGGCTGTGCTCACAGAGGGGCTTAATGAAGGAGCTGCGTGAACAAATAAAATCAGTGACCCATCAGGAAAAGGTAGGGAGAGGAGCCTCTATGCTCGGGGCAGGCCAGGTAGCAGATAGCAGACCCTCACAAAATCCCACCCCTACACACACACCTCAGCCACTTTAGCCGGGGAGATCTTCCCTTCATATGGGCATCCAAGTGCACAGGAAACATACCTGTGGGAAGACAGGGGAGGAATGTCAATGCCCCCAAGCTCCTTGGCCAGCAAGGCTGGGGCGGGTGGCTGTTTGACCTACATCCCTGGTTAGCCTGAAATCAAAACCTGAAGCTGGGCAGAGGTAAGGTGTGTGGGTGAAAGGCTAATTCGATGATTGTAGCAAGAATGAAGGTAGTGTTGCTAATGCCAGGAGGGAGCAGTGGAGAGTTACAGCATAGTGTTAGGACAAATAGGCCTGCAGTTCAGGAAGCAGGCCTCAGGAGAGGCAGCCAGACACCAGTAGAGGGGGAGCAGTATGAGCAAGAGCCTGAGCTGCACAGAGGTGAGGTAAATATGCACCACAGGGCAGCTGGGGCCCATCCTCACAAGGGCGGACCAATGAAACCTAAGGTAGGAAGAGAAGAGCCGGGCTGGCCTGAGGGCCAAGGGATCAGCTGCTTTAGAGAATTCATGCATCGTTTATTCAAACTGATATTTATGGAGTTGCCCATTTTGTGCAGGGCAATCAAACAAGTCAAAGAAATAATCTCAGGAAGTGATGTGCTATGAAGAAAAGTGGGGAATGTGACAGGAGCAACTACCAGAGGCCAACAGTAGCTAGGACGGTCCAGGAAGAGCTGTGAGGACAAGATGGTGGAGCAGAGAGGAGAGAAAGTCTCAGGAAGGGCATTCCAGGCAGAGAGGAGTGGAAATGGCAGGCGTGTTGAAGACGCAGAACACAGGACAGAAGCTGAGGCACAGACAGCAAGAGCCAAAGAAGTCTAGCATGAGGTTGGGGAGGTGGACGTGGGCCTGATCACGGGGTCTTGCAAGACATGGTAAGGAGTTTGGATCTTTGGATCTTGGGTGGGCTTCTATTCCCACACACCCTGTTGGAGCTTAGGTGCCATTAAAACCTTTTAGTCTAGCGAACTATTCTGCATATTACAAGGCATAACAAATGTTTGCTGTATAATGTCAGACTCAAAGATCTCAGTCTGTTTTTCCATTTTAACTCTCTCCCTTATGCTCCAATCACTGCTGAGCAAGGAAAAGATAGAGACACTGAGGAACGATCATGTGCAGTGCCCACGTGGTCTGACTCACCCCCGCACAGCAATGCTGGCTGTCCGGGCGGCTTTCAAGATGTCGTCACACCGCTGCAAACTCTCTTCTATGGAGCAATTGACATTCCTTTGGCTGAACAGCTCGGAGGCAGCTCCAAAGACGGCTACTTCCTTGGCTCCAGCAGCAACCTGCCAACAGCCAGTGAGGACCTCTCAGCACTTTTCTCGTCAAGGAACACCAGAATGGCAAACATCATCCTTTTTTGCTTTTATTTTTTGTTGAAGAGTAGTTAATATACAGTGTTATATTGGTTTCAGATGTACAACACAGGGATTGACAATTATATACATTATGAAATGCTCACTGCAATGTGTTGTTACCCTCTCTCACCAGTTATTACAGTATTACTGATTATATTCCCTGTGGTGTACTTCCAGCCCCATGACTAATTTATTTTATAATTGGAAGTTTGTACCTTTTTATCCCTTCATCTATTGCACCTCTCCCCCGAGGCCTTTCCTCTATGGCAACCACCAGTTTGTTCTCTGTATTTATGAGTCTGTTGCTGCAAAAACACTTGTCTTACAGTAAATTTCATGGTATTTGAATGTTATAGGTTGAAACGTGTCCCCCCACAAAAAAGATTAATATTAGAGTCCTAACCCTTAAAAACAGATGTGACCTTATTTGGAAATAGGGTCACTGTAGATGTAACTAGTTAGGATGAGGTCATACTGGTCCGTACTCCAGCATAACTGGTATCTTACTAGGTAGCTTACTAGGTAGCTTACGAGGCTCTTGCTAAGCAATTTATGTGCACTCTTAATGTCTGAATTCCTCATCTTAGGAACTGTCATTAGCCTGATCTTATAGGTGGAATGTGAGGCTTGGAGAGGTTGAGCAGCTTGTCAAGATCAGAGAGCTGGGAGTGGCAGGGCCAGGACCGCCTGGAGTCTGCCTGACAGTGCTCATCACCTCGGGAGGTAAGACCTTCAGAGAGACGTCCTGGGACGGGGACTGGGACCTGCGGAACAAAACAGGAACCAGAGCCAACAATCTCATTTCAGGAGCCTCCACCAACATGCTACGTCTCTTACCGCTGCCTGGTAGCCTTTGAAATTTGGGGTCAGGACTGGGTAGTTGATGCCAGGAAATTTCTGGATGCCCATTAACACTTCAGAGTGATCAGCCATCTGGGAGGCAAAGGAGACATTGCCAAATCACTGCCAAGAGCAGGCAGAGAACTCAGGCAGAGAAAATGTTTTTAAATCACAAATCTCTTTTTTCCAGAACACATGAATGAGTTCTTTTGCAGAGCTGAGTCTCCCCAATGCTTTTTCTATCTGTTTGACTGATGATGGGCCAGAGGCTCCTTGGTGTGGGTGATATCCCCAATTTCTCCATATGGCTGACTGTCAGCAATAACACTACCAGCCATTTATTGAGGATGTGCTCTGAGCCAGGCACTGGGCTCAGCATCCTATGTTATTTAACACTCAGCTGGAACAGGAGATTTCTTCCCACATGACTGTTTCTGTGAAGCAGGAGTTATCATATTTCCATTTTACAAACACAGAAACCATGTCTCTAGACAGACCTAGAGATTCTAGACTTCTAGAGCCAGAAGAGACCAGGAGTCATCTTCAACTGGAGAGGGGAAGGCCTCGTCAAGGTCACCAAGTCACAACCAAATCCAGACATCCTGCCTCCCACGTTACATTCTTCTGCTACACCACGCTATCATGAATCACCTGAGGCTTCTCAAAGCCAGAGACCTGGAAACCTGTGTTCCAGACTTTTATTTACTTTTCAGGAAACTGCAAAACTTTACACTCCTCTTATCTGAGAAACGTCTCTTACTGAGGGCTGAGGCTCACCTGGGGAACCCACTTGGGTGACACAAAGCTGGTGGCTTCTATAACGGGGAGTCCTGCTGCAGAAAGCATGTTTATCAGCTTGATTTTCATGGGTGTAGGTATGATATTCTGTGATGGAGAAACACCAGAAAACAGGTCAGCAAAGTTGGGAATAAAATGTTCTCAGAATGCAGTGCCGGTTGGTTCAAGGCTTTTGCTACAGCATGCACTTCACTACCTCAACTTCCAAACGCTAACAGTAGGTGGAGTACAAGGCTTATTTTCAAGTTAGCATTTTTTTTTTTTTTTTGCAATACAGGCAGCTTCTCACTTGAAAAGGAGTTAATATTTACATGGAAACAGTATTTTCCACCATACAGACTTCTTCTTAACTAAATTTTGGTTATATATGACCCCATCATTTACAAATTGGGGGCAAAGTGCCATGGCCTGAAAAGACAGAGATAACCAAAACTCTGGGTCCTCTGAGATGGGGCCCCCAAAGTATCACACCTTCCTCTTTTTAAAGTGCCACTGGCACAGGATCTCATCCTTACATGTTCAAACTACTGCTTCTTTCTCTTCCTCCCCTACCATGGCTAGTTGTTTACCAGATTCAATGGATTCCTCTTTCCAAATGTATCATCATTACCCCATGTATATTATGGGTGGCCTGATCTCACTCAACTAATTCATCCCACAGGAATCCTTCTAAAACAGTCTCCATTATTTCATTCAGCTCAAAAGCCTCCCATGACTCCCTTGTACTTACAGGATTAGGTCAAAAAATCCTAAGAACTCCAAGTCTCTCTCTCCTTCCACAGCTACCCCCTCTAATTTTTCTCCCACTGCTTTAACTCAGTCCATTCCTCAAGATATTTTTGAGAGCCCTCCATGTTCCAGGGATTGTGCTAGGTGCTAGGGATAAAGTAATGAGCAGCCTAGACATGATTCTGCCCTCACAAAGATTACAGTTTATTGTTTCCAACAAGTACCCAATATTAAAAAGCTAAGCTGATCATGCTTTTAAAAAAAGGAAAAAAACTTTTTTTCTTGAAAAAATAATTAATACACAATTAATTCAGAAAAACATGCCCAACCAAAACTACCCTTTAAACTTTCCAGAGGTAACACTATCAGCACCCTGACATGTATCTTTCTAGATCTGTGCAGCCCAGTACATTAGACACTAGCCATATGTGATTATTTGAATTTAAATTAACATTATATATGTATCAAAAAATTCAGTTCTCCAGCCACACCAGCCACATTTCAAGTGCTCAACAGCTGCATGTGTCCAGTGGCTGCTGTGTGGGGCAGCTCAAACCTAGAACATTTCCATTTTCACAGAAAGTTCTATTTAACAGCCCTGTTCCAGATCTTTTTCTAAGTAGATACTCCCACACATATAAAACACTTTTTGGTTTTTACACAAAAGTAAAAGATTAAAAAATACATATAGTTATTTGATATTTTATACTAATTTATACTCTGTTCATAATCTGCTTAAGTCACTTAATATATGCCTCCATATTAATGGCATCATAATCCATTTTAATTAATGTATTTGATCTAATTTTTCCCATACTGAGCATTTAGGTTATCACAACTGGGATGTAAGGAACATTACCAAGGCTAAATCTTTGCATGTGGCCTTCATGACTTCTTTGTGTAGAATTGCTGGATAAAAAAAACATGCTTTAAACTTGACTCTACATTCCTGCAGCACTTACCTTCCACCCGGCCCCACTGGGCCTTGGGATGGATCCAGGGACACCATACCTGTTGCACCTCCATGTTAGATCACAGGTGCTTCCTGGCCTTCTCCACCTCCCCTACGTAGGGCTAGGTGATCACATCTTGCATAGCTCTGTCCATCCTGGCTGCACCTACCACATGGACTCTCAATGTTCATTTAAAAACTTTTCAAATTTCCATCTTTACCTTTTCATTCTGTAGTCCATCTCGGGGTCCAACTTCCACAATTTTCACCTGCTTTGGGAATGTACCCAGAGATGAGGTGCTGACCTTTGGTTTAAAAGAAGAAACCAAAAAGGAAGAGACAAAATCTGAAAAGGGGGACCAATCTGAAAGAATGGATCCATCTTCACTAATATTGAGACAAGAAGCAATAATTCTCACGGCTTAATTCACATTTGACCTGTTTCAGAACTAAGAACGAAAAGTATATTTCACTGAAAAACGAGCAAGTGATTCATGCTCCCAGAATAGGCCCATTTCCAGCTCCTTTGAAGTCTAGACCCATTTTTAGCTGCCTAACAATTGAGCATTTAGGTGCAATCTTTTTTGCACCTCTCAAACTTAGTAGTCCCAAAACAGAACTGTTTACGCTCTCCTAAAGCCCTGTCTGACTTCCTTCTTATCTCAGTAAAAGGCACACATGCAACCTGTTGCTTAAAGCCAGAAAACTGACTCATCCCTTTCCCCTACTCACCATGGGCTGTAAGTCTCTTATCATTTGGATCCACTTATCTCAGTGAACTTATTACATTCGCCCCACTGTCCCCCACCCCAAGGGGTCCCACTGGCCTTTCTCCCACACCAAGGCCTTGGTGCTTACTTTTCCCTCTGCCCAGAATGCTCTTCACCTGGCTCTTCCCACATCTGGCTTCCTCTTATCTTTCGGTCACAGATGGACCTCCTCTGACTGCCCTTTGAAAAGTTGCCAATCCCCTCACCCTCATTATTTTCTATTTCAAGAATAAAATACTTCCTTTAGAGCATGGCACATAATGCCTACTCAATGTTTCCTCCAGTAGAATATGAGCTCCATGAGGGACTTTGTCACGACCTCCACTTCACCCCTTGTGTTTGGCACTGTGCTTGGCATGAAGCATGCACTCATTAAAATGTTGCCAAAGTAACAGATAAATGTGTGACGGGCATAGCTGCCCCACAGGAGGGCAACTACTAGCTGTGGGGAGGAGCAGTCAGTCTTGGACTTTGTGGGGTTGGGGGAATGGAGGAGGGCTCTGTTCTGTTACAATCACAGGCTGGGTGGGTCTGTGCATGGATGACATCATCAGCTGCTAAAAACAATAAATAGGCCTGGAGTCTTCTCTACATAACATCTCCCCCAAATTTTCCCCTTCTCACTGCCAAGTAACACAGGCTTCTTTTCCCTCTTTCCTCAATTCTTAATACTACAAATCTTCAAATTAACTTCATTTTACCAGATTTAATCTGGATAAACATACTGGAGTAAGGGGAGAGGTGCAATCTCTGCAAGGGTCCAGATTCCTAAAACCCTTAAGGAAATATTCCCTTCTATGAATCAGCTGGAACTTGAACAATTTACCTGAACTGACCTTGGCTGTTAACCAGCAAAGCTTCCTAGAGACAAAGATGATGAACCACTAGATGCCATGATGTCAGCAGGCTAAACCCAAGGTCCCTGCAAGCTGAAACACCCTCCAACAGGGATGTTCAGCCTCTGCTGGGACACTACTCTAAAATGATCCCGCTGGAATATAAGCTTCATGAGACAGGGGCTTTGTTTTATTCATTGCTATATTTCCAAAGGACTGGACATAATAGGGGCATAGTAAATAACTGCTGAATGTTGTGGGAAGATGTAAAACCTGTTTCCAAGTTCCTTTTATTAGAACAAACTCAATTCTACTTCCTTCTTCATAACAACTTTTCATATAATAATAGAACAGTAATTCCTATTTATTAAGCATTTAATATTTATCAGGCACTTCATGCCAAGCACAGTGCCAAACACAAGGGATGAAGTGGAGGTCGTGACAAACTCCCTCATGGAGCTCATATTCTACTGGAGGAAACACTGAGTAGGCATTATGTGCCATATGTGTAAGAGTCTTTTACATATTAACCTCTATCATTCTCTCAACAACCTTATTAGGTAGGGACTATTATAATCCCCATTTTACTGTGAGAAATCTGAAGCCCAAAGAGATTAAGTAACTTTCCCAAGACCACATGCTTACCTAGTCACTGAGCCACTATGTGAACCTGGCCGTGTGGCTCTAGAGCACACACTTTTAATTCCTGGGCCATGTTGCCTCTCTGGAACCCTGCAGTCCCCCATCTTCTCTTGTTTTGGTTAAAATACCCAGTTCCTTCCCTCTGTGAAGTTCTGCTCAGAGATAATCCCCTCTTAACCACACAAGTCCTGGGTCACAGCCTCCTGAACTGTATGTAGTGTACCTGTCATCAACAGCTAATACTGACAAAAGTCCAGTGCTAACTTCAGGCAGCAGTGCCTCATTTAGTCCCTACATGGCTGGGACTATTATCATCTCAACTCCATAGGAAGAAACAGCTTCCAAAAGATTACTCAGAATCACACAACTAGGAAGTTTAGACCTGAGCTGTCTGGCTCTGGTACCAAATCGATGCTAGTAACCGCGTGGAGGGGCTGTCACCATCATGTCATTATGCCGAAAGTTTTTCAAACAACATTAATATCCACCATCTCATTCAATTTTCTTAACTTTTCAAGTTGGAATTACCATCTGTATTCTACACATGAGCAATTGGTGGGGATGGGTGGCCTAGCAGACATTAGTTTTTTGAATTGGGTCCACCACCAAGATAGTGTAATTTTTCCCACTATACAGTTATAACTTCTTTTATGATCTCTAAGATAAAAAATACCACAACTGATCAATCATTTACTAAGAGCTAGAACAATGTTTGATGCTTTACCTACATTTTCTTTAATGTCCAAAAAACCTTTATGTAATGTTCATCCATGTTATGAGAACGCAGGTTTACTGAGTAAATAACTCAACCTAGAAAGTGGCAGAACGACTGGGACACCACAAGTTGAGCTTTACCAACACAACTCATTCAACCTTTTATACAACTAGGTCTCCTTACACCTTCTCTCCACCCATTTAACATGGGAGAGGAGGGAAACAGCAGGAAGGAACTTGCCCAAAGTACAATTCCAAGGCCCCACGAGGCCCAAGTTCTGGTTGGCACGCTGGGAGAGCCCGCCAAGCGGCCCCAGACGCAACAGGAGCTGAAAAACGGAGGCGTAGGGAGGAGGACCTTGTTTTTTCTATTCAGAATGGAAGGGTATTCGTGATTTTCACTAATATGGGGCTTAGAGAGGTCTGAAGCCCAATAAGAGGGAGAAAGGTGCCAAGGTGACTAGGAGGGCCTTGGACAGGGAATTAGGGCCTGTGAGATGGCGTCCCAGATCTCCGCGACCCAGACACCTCGCTCCCCATCTCCGGGCCTCCGTTTCCCCATAGCCCTCAATGGATTTGGGCGGGACAGAGGGTCCAAGGCTCTCCAGACTATGGTCCGAAGAGCTGTCCGGCTTCGCCTCATAGAGAGCGGACGCCACGGGCCAAGCTCAAGACCCCGACCGTCATGGCGCCTGCAGGGCCGCCCCTCGGCAACCCGGGCACTTACAGCCCGGAGGAACGTCAGGCCCACCAGTCTCCGAGGTAGCGCCCTCCTCACAGACGCCATCTTGGCCCAGCTTCCCCTGCGGCAGCCCTGCTGAGCCTCACGTAAACCCCTCAAGTGCCAGGTAGGTGTGGCCTCACCCTTGGGGCGGAGCCTCTGGAGTGACGTTAACGCCTTACGCTAGCTTCGTCCCCGTTCTCTCGGTTTTTATTACTTCCGGCTAGTTCTTCCTTCAGCGTTAAGTTTCGTGAGCTCTTATTCTGTGCGTGGTAAAGTGGAGCTCTAGGACTGTACAGAGGAAAAAAATTAATCAGAGGCTCTGACTTCATGGTCTGGGGTCTGGGAGGTGTGGGAAGACAGATATGAGCACAGATAGTTGTGTCATTACTACCTTTCAGAATAAGATGAAACATTACTATTTGCCTATTGGATCGCTCATCACATTCTTAAGGATTCAAATGCAGGTAGCTGACTCTGGAGATGCATCCTTTGATTTCATATCTTGAAGAATGAGTAAGATTTATCCAGGTAAAGAGGATACAAGAAAAGCTTTTACAGGCAGAGGTCGTAGCATATGCAAAGGCTCAGAAAAAAGAAACTGAATGCCTAGAGAAGTGTTTTTCAAAATGCATGTTGTGCCTCATTAATTAGATTTATCAATTTAATGGGTACCAAATTTAAAAACAATAGAAACTATCAGAGTGCATTACATAAGTAGTAAAGCTAAGTACTGTTTTAAAAACTTACATGTCAACCAGGTTGGCGGTGTAAAATAAATTTCTTACTGTAGACTGCAATTAGAAAAATTTGAAAAACATTGTTTTAGAAAGATGAAAAGAAGGCCAGAATGATGGGAAAGCAGAGAAGGGTACTTCCTACTAAGATGAGAGTTTGACAGGGACCGTAATAAAGGGCTTTGGGAACACATTAATAACAGCTTTCCTTAATCACATGTATTGTAAGAAAGAGACAGAGGCAGTTAGAGAGAGAGAGACATACATTCAGAGGAGAAGGAAATGTAAAGGCAAAAGCAGAGCCTGGAATGATGCAGTCGTAAGTCAAGGAATGCCAACAGCCAGCAGATGCTGGAGAGGCAAGAAACAGATCCACTAGAACCTCAGAGGGAGCACAGCCCTACTGATACCTTGATTTTAGACTTCTGGCCTCCAGACTTGTGAGACAATAAATTTTTGTTGTTTTAAGCAAAATAAAATAAATAATAACAGCTTTCCTAATAGCAATGCATTTGAAGGGTGTTAAGCAGGAAGATAGGACCAAATATGGATGGCTAGGACTTCCAGTACTATGTTGAGTAGAAGTGGAAAAAGTGGGAATCCTTGCCTTGTTTTTGGTCTTAGAGGAAAAGCTTTCAGTCTTTCACTATTTAATGTTTGCTCTAGGCTTTTATTATGTGAGGTAATTTCCTTCTATTCCTATTTGGTGTTTTTACCACAAAACATGTTGCATTTTGTCAAATGGTTTTACTACATCAACTGAGACAGTCATGTAATTTCCCCCCCTTCATTCTGTTAATGAGGTGTATTACACTGATCAATTTTTGTATGTTGAACTATCCTTGCATTTCAGGAATAAATCCCACTTGGTCATGGTGTGTTGCTGAATTAATTTTGCTGATATTTTGCTCAGAATTATTGCATCAATATTCATAGATGATATTATTGGTCTGTAGTTTTCTTGTGTTTTTGTCTGGGTTTGGTTATCGGCTTAATGCTGGCCTCATAGAATGAGTTTCGAAATGGTGTCCAACTTTTTTTTGGAAAGTTAGTTCTTTAATGTTTGGTGGAATTCACTAAATAAGCCATTGGGCTTCTTCTTTTTTGGTCAGAAGATATTTTATTACAGATTCACTCTCCTTACTAGTTAGAGGTATATTCAGATTTTCAATTTCTTGATTTAGTTTTGGTAGGTTTTGTGTTTTTAGGAATTTTTCCATTTCATCTATGCTTTTTGTTGGCATTCAGTTGTTCATAGTTCTGTTATAACCCTTTTTTATTTCAACAGAATTGGTAGTAATGTCCCCACTTTCATTTCTAATTTTAGTAATATGAGTCTACTTTTTTCTTAGTCCATCTAGTTCCAGGTTCATCACTTTGTTGATCTTTTTGAATAACCAACTTTTGGTTTCATTTATTCTTTTCTATTAAAAAAATATCTGCTCTAATCTTTTCCTTTCTTCTGCTAGCTTTGGACTTAGTTTGTTCTTAAACTAGTTCCTTAAATTTTAAAGTATGTCGATTTGAGATCAATTTTTTAGTGTATTTATAGATTTCCCCCTTAGCACTGCTTTCACCGCATCCAGTTAAGTTTTGGTATGTCGTATTTTGTTTCTGTTCTAAATGTTTTGTAATTTCCCTTGTTTCTTCTTTGATTCATTGGTTGTTAAAGAGTGTGATTTTTGATTTCCACAATTTTGTGAATTTTTCAGCTTTCCTTCTGCTATTGATTTCTAACTTCATCCAGCTGTGGTCAGAGAAGATATTTCTGTTGTCAGGTAGCTGCATACGGGGAGGTCAACCTGGTGAAACCTCAACCTGCACGGGGGAGGCTTCTTGACTCTCATCGAGAAAGAATTATTGAACAGGTTGGATGAGTGTAGGTAAGGAAGAAATTCATTAAAGCAAGAGTAGTAGTGAATAGCAGCAGCTGAGTAGTCAGTAGAGAGCAAGGACAGAGGGAGGAAAGGAAAGCTCACTGAACTCCTGTTTGACATAGGGCAGGTCTCTGGCCAACTCCAGGAGCCAGGGTCACCTGGCGTCCAGTGTTTGCTTGATCTGCACAGCGTGGGAACCAAGCGTCTACCACCCCAGGATTTAGCGGAGCCACAGAGCACTGCATGGAGTGAGATTATGTTCTGAGAACTTTGCAAAGCAAAGAAAGATTTTCGGGCAGGCTGCTAAAGGGCATGATCATACAACTGCAGTCCAGGCCTGGTCATGCAGGTGACGGGAACTTGCAGGCCCAAATCAGATCTCAGGAGCCCTTCCCTACTTGTCTGAAGTAGGACAGAGAAAGTGAAGAGTTGTGCCTAAGTCTAGAAAATTGAAGGAAGTAGTGAAGTAACAAAGGCACTTACCACTGGGAAAGGGGTCTCTTATTAACCTCCCTGCAGGCTTGGAAGAGCACGGAGACAAACCAATAAACTGAGGACCAAGGTTTTATTTAAAGCAAAGTACACACTTGGAGAAAAGGGGAATGGGGGCAGCCTCCGAGGAGAGGTGCGCTTAAAGGCTTAGGATTTCGGTGTTTGAGGATTTAGAGAATGGGGTAAAAAAGGGCCAAGGGAGTGTTGGCTGATGTGTGGTCTCATAATGTCTGTCTCCAGTGGTATAGAGACATTAACATGATCAGTCCTTACATAATATTCTGTAAGAAAAACTTAACACAAGCTATTGGTCCTGTTCTTCTCCAAGACCACAGTTACCCTCAAGCAGTGGAGACATATCATTTATAAATGCTTGTCTGGCCTTAAGATAAGCTAGGCTTTTGGCTAATCACCATAAAATATATTAGGAATCTTACCTCCTAACTCCTTGGTTAAATGGAATCTTAGCCTTAAGATGGAGTCCCTCCTGTTCTTACTATTTATATCTCAGCATTTTTCATCATAGGAAAAATTAGTAATGTTTGTCCCATGTCCCTGCTTTTTTTTTTTAGCTCCATACATAGTGTTTTAAATTATCATTCGAAGTATTTTCTAAATCTCTGTATGGTACCTTCTTTGATTCAATTAATTAGAAGAATGTTTTAAAGTTTGCAAACATGGGTTTTTGCCAAGTTTTTATGGTCTTTTAATCATGTTGTAGACATACTATATAGTCTGTATGATACCGCTTCTTTGTTACGTTTGTAAATGTTCCGTATGTGTTTGAGAAAGACAAATATTCCTTAAATGTTGGGTAAAGATTTCTAATACATCTATTAAATAAAAAAGAAACAAAATTTGACTAGATCTAAAACAAAGAGGCTAAACTGATAGTCAACTCAAAAGAATGGTACCAGAAGCGAGCAGAAAACCAAAGGATTTCCACCGGGGCTCTGCATCATGCAGACTTGGCAGGCTGCCCCACAGCCCCAGCATTTTTTTTTTTTTTTAAAGAACATAAAGCTATAGGCAGCTCACATAGTCCCAGAAGAAAGTTACAACATGCTTTTTGGTAGTAATAATCTGACATACAAATTTATTTATTTGATCATGTTTTAAAAAGCAGGGCAGAATCACATCCATTTTCTTACAGTATTGCTCTAAACAGACTCATTTTCAGAGCTCTTAGTTTGCTTTGGAAATTTCTGAAAAGCTGACCACAGCAGCCTAGCAAGCCTTTTCCTGCCCATCCAGGCTCTCCTGCTTCTGTTGGGCGATGGGGGCTCGGAGGATAAGCGGGTTTTTTATGACAACTGATACTAAATAATTAGCATGAGGCTAAGCTTACCAAACCCTTTTCGCCCCTTCCCATGGGCAACAGGGTGACCTGGCTTATTCTTCACCTGAAGTCTATGAATAACTTCAACCACAGAGGTCATCAAACACAGAGAATGGAGGGCAATTTTCAGTGTAGCTAATTTCCAAAGTTAGGTATGGACGAAGTCAGAGCTTAACTGTTTAGTTCCTCCTTCTGCTGATGAGAGAGAGATGTGCTAACAGTGGATCTCAGCTCTGACCCATTGAGACATCAGTGGAATACATTCAGTCCCACTGATTGAAATGTGTTGGAAAAGGCATTTCTGGGTAGAGAAGAGTAGTTTATTACAATGATGATACTCCAGGGGAAAATCAAAGTAGCAGACAGCAGGTAGTGTTCCTCTTGAACTCCCGTGATCATTTAACTCCTATCAGCTTTAGAGCCCAACCAAACTGAACGGGGAGAACTGAGAATGGTAACTGGGGCAGATAAATGAGAAAACCTACATTTGGATCTTTGGTCCACTTCAGATCTTTTTCGACTCCCAGCAACCTTATCTGCAGAAAGTAAAAGGGATGGAAAATCATGAATGCATTAATGAGGTCAGAATATGGCCTGAACATGGTGGGAAATGATCCTGCTGGGGCAGGACAGAGAAGACAGTCTACAAGGGGAATAAATATGGGGAAACCTGGGGAAGGAAGATATAGAGAAG